TTTTCATTCTTAGCTTTGCTTTGCTTGACTAATGTTTTGAACATGAAGGCATAATTAAAACTATACAAAGATAAATAATATTAGTCAATAACGCTCTTACATGGAAGCACAGTGTAAGCAAAAAGATTTGTAGAAAATAAGAATTAAAGCTGCACTTTGTAAGTTTTAGGGATTTGGAGACCTCTCTGGTGGAAATGTGTAATTGCATGCAAGGTGTGAAAGAACATCTTGTAACATGGGTTGTGTTTCGGACCCCTTCCTTGAGCACATGAATCTGATGATTACGAGCGCATTGAAAGAGAATTCAGAGAGAACTCCGTCAAAATTTAGTAAAGGACACGTCTTCTGAGGATGTGAGTGAAATATCTACAGTTATCATGTCTTTATCATATCAAAAAAATGTTGATTTGCATTTGAGACCTAAACTTTGAGCCAAACCTTCTTTCTGAGCCTGTGTGTATGACAGTTACTACACATGACGTATGACACAAGGTGAAAAATTCACAACCCGACTCCTCTGACTTTTATATGATAGTTTCAGGCCTTACAAGGTGGCTCACAGCAATGCATGCTCACCATATTTTAGCCTGTTTTTATTCCCCTGACTCAATATTGGCACTTCTTTGAATTTTAACAAGCAGCTTAGTACAGCTTTAACTGAGTCTAACAAACCAGAATGTTTATGCTGTTAATCTAAATGTGCTGTGATCATGGTCAACATAAGAGTCTTTGTACCGTACTGTGATTAGTGAATAAGTTAAATCGCTCTAAATTGGCTCTCCTGTGAAATGCAGTGGTTTAGTCCTGGCACTGTAAATGTACCAGGGATGTCTGTCTTTGCTGAGCTGACATGAGACATTATGTCTGAGCGTGCACTACCATTCAGAAGTTTGAAATCACTTTGTTGTTATTAAGATATTGAACATATAATCAGTATTTCAAGTGTTTTGCTGATTACACAAAGTTATTAAATGATGACATATTTCAAATATATATTTCCTGTAGGTTTTTGGCAAGGCAAGATATATTTATATAGCACCTTTCATACACTGCTGTCATTCAAATTGCTTTACAAAAGAGAAAATACAGAGTCAAAAAAATAAGTTGTTTTAAAAAAAAGTAAAGTAATAGAAATTAAAAATATGATTAAAACAGATTTAAAAAAGAAAACCATTAAATTAAAAATCAAACCACAAATTAAATTAGGAAAATTTGAAAATCAATTTAAAAGTTAGATTAGGATAAAAAAAAGTACCGTTACAAAAGAAAAGAGGTTAAAAACGCTAACAGTGTTTAAACTGAGCTGAAACCTGCTCAAATAGGAATGTTTTGAGTCTGGATTTAAAAGTGTCCAGTGTCGGGGCTCTTCTAATGCTCTCTGTCAGCTGGTTCCATTTAAGAGCAGCATAGTAGCTAAACGCTGCTTCTCCATGTTTAGTCTTCACCCTCAGCAGGACTGACTAGTTACTAATGATCTGAGAATTTTGCTCGGCTCATATCACTGCCTCATATGAAATAAATCAAGAAAGCTCCCTGCCTCGATCACCAATTTCCAAATGTGTTGACTTCATCATCACTGTTAATCAATCAGTCAACCTTTACTTAGACTTGTGAGTACACTGAGAGTGACCCTTGTTTGCAGTGTAGCTGAGCATATACATGGACTGATAACCAAAAACAGTGATATGTGCTGAATGAAATTTACTCAACTAAAACAAGTAGGACTGTCAAAATTAACAATGACTCAGAATTCGGTAAAACATAAGAAATTGAGATACAGTTACTGAACATTTTATTTTATTGATGTCTTAACATTATTGAACAATAAAATAATTAAATAATAACCAATTTAATGAGTGAAATCAGCTGAACCCATTGCTTATGCAGGCGTACAATTGCATATTTACAGCTCTCCATAGAAAAGCACTGATCAGTACAGTCTAGCTTGTGCCTGAGGTCATCATGTTCACTGCCAAGCATGGGCTAAAGGGGTGTAGAGCCCCCCCAGCACTGGGCTGTGGAGCAGTGGAGCTGTGTTCTCTGGAATGATGGATGGAGCTCCATTCAGTACCTTTGGGATGAATTGGAGTGATCCAGAACTGACCATCCAACATCAGAACCTGACCTCACTAATGCTCAATCAGATCCTCACAGCAATGTTCCAATATCTAATGTAAAGCCTTTGCAGAAGAGTAGAGGCTGTTACTGCAGCACGAAGTCACTATTAATACCCTTCATTTCAGAAGAAACACTTATTTTCAGGTGTCTACAATTTTGGGGACATAGTCACACTTTTAAGACGAACCTCAAAAGTTTAATATTGATTGGGTTCTGTTTTCCACAAAGCTCATTGTGTGCTCTATTTTAAAGTGCTAAAGTTCATTATTATTAATATTTGAATGTGAAAATGTGGCAGGAACTTCAGAAAAACATGTTTGAAAGACATTTGTCTTTGTAAAGTCTCTGCATTTTCATCTACCACAGCAATTATTTTCCCCCTCTTCCAGCACAGGCTTCATTACTGATGTGTAATGCATCAGCAGCCTCTAAATTCCTCTCAATCTACATGCAGATGCCTTGGTTCCTCTTATCTGCCTCTCGGGACCTTTCTTCAATTTACTTTTCAATTAAGATCAAGCTGCAGCAGACTGTAGAGGAACAAGAAGGAAGAATCTTCTGGAATTTGTGCAGAGTGACGAGCCCAGAACAGGCCATGCCACCGCAGAGTAATTGAAGACAGAGTTCTCTCTCATTTTCTTGCCGTTTGCGTCACTGTAAGGCTTTTTACGTGCAGAATTACGTGCAGAATGTGATGTTTATTGAAATCCTAATCCAGTAAGAGTCCAGTGTGTTATTTCATCACCTTTCTTTAAAGTTATGTGGTAGTAAGTAGGGATGGGCAGAGTTGTTTTTTTTATGTGCTACTTAGGTAGTAATTTTACTGTTCTATATAACACCCTTTTCAACAAGGTCCCAAAGAAAACCATCAATAGCACATTCATGCACATTTTCCATCAATCTGAAGAACGCTTTGATGATGCAAAGAAACCCTTATCATGGTTCTATAACCATTTTCTTTACCAAAGAACCCTTGAATTACCATCTTTTTTAAGAGTGTAGGCCTCTGAGTTCTGTTGGAAAATGAATGAATGACCTAGTGTCTGTGTGTGTGTGCATATAAATATATATACACACACACACATCTATTTTATTTACATAATCTGTGCATAAAACATCCCTAAAATAGGCTCTTGAGGAATGTGTTGTTCATTTGTTGTTTATTTTGCAGGTTTTAGTGTTAGACTAACCCCGCTGTGTGGAGGCTGTGCTTTAGCCTGGCTGTTCTTACTGTGAGCTGTTTATATGCAGTGCTATATTACAACCACGGAGAGGGAGATTAAAGCAGTGTATGGGTGAATTCTGACTTATACACAAAACTCAGTAATCAAAAAATGACTTTTCTTGACTTGTCTTCAGATTAAATCTGGAGAAATATCTGTCTGATTGCTGTCAAATGCTATAAGAATATGAGAAGATGACTAAAAGCATGTTTTACTGGAACCTATATAAAATATCCATGTTACATTTTGCCCTTACATTAGTTTGTGCCTCACACTCCTCTACACCATATTTCAGTTTTATCCCACTGTTTACTTAACAGGTTGAACCTCTCTCAGATTAATCATATTTGTGATACCTGTCAAATTGCTGACAGACACGTTTCTGTTGGAGACACCGGCTCATACAGCGTTTCTTCTGAAATGAAGGGTATTAATAGTGAGTTTGTCCTGTTTTACTGCAGTAACAGCCTCTACTCTTCTGGGAAGGCTTTACACTAGATGTTGAACATTGCTGTGAGGATTTGATTGAGTATTAGTAACAGATATCACTAATTAGAACGGCTGTCTGGATACTTTTGGAAATATAGCATACATTGGAATACTGGTATTGGTATTAAAAACTAATAATAAAGTAACATAATAGGCCAAAATCCAATCAGCTCCTTGTAACTATGCAGTTGCTATGCACTGGTTCTTGTTGTAGTAGTTTTGAGGGTACATTGACACTGTTTTTATGTTGGAGGACAACAGTCGTATACAGAGGTTTAAACAACCCTTCTCAATATACATGTTTTGTTGATTTTCTAAGTGAAGAGAAGTTAACACACACTCTACAGAGAACACACTTAAAATGGCCTTTTCCTGCAAACATTAGTGTGCAGGTTCTGTTTATTTGTATAATTATAGTTTTACATACTGGAATAATGTATTGCTGCCGTCAAAACAAAACCTTGTATCTCCAAAATGGTAACTTTACAGGAGAAGGAGAAAACATGCTTTACTTTTAATGTAAGTCAACGGAACCAAACATTTTTCTGAATAATTTTGGGCTGTTTCTTTTGATCCATTCATCATGAAATTTACACCCAATGTAAAGACCAACAGGTATTTTCAAATTATGTCAAAAACTGCAAAATGACAAAAATGGAGATATGAGGTTTTGTTCCGACAGCAGCGATATATTATGATGGTTTAACATAATGGAAAACAAAAAAATATAAAATATAAAATGTGCTATATTCTTTGTACAGGCCACATTTAATATTATATGTTTAGTGTTATATTTTTTTATATCAGCAAATAAACAGCAATGTGGCATTAAAATGTGCAGTAGTGTATTCTTTTAGTGATAACCTGTTGCCATATTTCCAACCCTTTGCCAGGATCTTTTTTTTTATTTTTATGTGTATAGTTTCCAGTTGGCCAGAATCACAGACACTCCAGGAAACAGTTGCCGCATGTGAAAATGTCCTTATACTGGTTAATATTTAAGCTCAATTTAATATTTAACCTGATTTACATTAAAAAGCAATGTCAAAAATACAGTCGTGCATGTTTTTGTATTTACAGACACCAGATGGCGCTGTGGTCAGTTGGTAAATTTGAAAACAGGTTATGTCAGCTGGAGAGTAATAATGATGTCTTTTTTTTCCCTGTCAGATTAGAGGCTTCCTGTCCAGGTTTGATAATGTTCTTCCTGCAAGCTTGGCTTTTGATAAGTGCACTGCCTGCTCCCCAGTGGTGAGTCAATCCGTACACAAGCTTTGCCCACCTGTATGAAGTGTATCTTGTAGTGAAGTTTGGAAAAAAAAAAAGATGAAATCCCCTTTTTTTTTGGTAGAATTTCTGGAATGGTTCAGCAAAACATTCACACATCTTATTACACTTAACCCAGGTGTAGTCGATCAGCCAAGACTTGTTCGGAGTCCAAGTTTAGGGCTGGAGCTGTTGCTAACAGTTAAAGTCAATAGTCACCCAAATCTTTTTTGTGAATACATCCCTAAAACATTTCTCAGCCTGATCAAAGCGGGTCACAGGCTACAGATCAGTCATTGTGGTTTAGGCCACAGTATGACTTTAAAACTTGTCTGAGTATAGCTGAACGCAGCGGGCAGCCTTTTTGGACGGCAGGTGTTGTGCTGAATTCGGACTCTCCCGCAGAATCCCGTCCCATTTGCATGCACATATGTCCTGCAGGCATGTGGATGCTAAATTACGGTCACAGTTTTTCTTTTCATAAATAACTGTTTCATCTTGAATTTTTGAGCTAATGTTTGTTTATAATTAGAAACAACAACTATCATAAGAAAGAAAATTAGGAATTAAGGAAAAGAACCTCTGTGTCAGTGTTTCACTGCTGCTGACTAATGTTAACATGCAGTTTGTTCTTTAAAGTAGCTGCTACAGCCACTTTCAGAGAAAACGTTTTCATTCTCTCCCTCAAAAGCTGTCGGTATCTGAGAGAGCGAGTGCTCGGCAGGGAGATGTTCGTTCCCTTGAGCCGATGTTTGTGGAAAACGTCTACAGTGGTATAGACCATGACGACCCGGCACGCCCCCCATGCCAGCATGTGTGCGTGTTTAGCTTTTTGCCAACTAGTTTATTGTTAGCGAGCTGTTTCAACATGTCCAGCTAACATGACTTATCTCGCGTTTTTGGTTATAGTTATTTTCATCTCCATCGATTTATCACTCTGTAGACGTTAGCTGATGTTACTGTACTCTGATAGCTGTGAAGGAATTTTACACGAAGCATTTATATCCTTTATTTAGTTTGGACCCCCACATTGTTGTATGTTTGGTTCTCCAACCGTTCTGGACACATCCTCGAATTTCAATCTTGCCAACTATGACAAAGATAAAGTGAGAGACCTTTCTTTCTGCAGTGATACTGTATTTCTGAGGTTAGTATCTGCCTGTAAGGCAGTAGCGGAACATGTTCTACCCAGCGTTACGCACTTCTGTTTCTTGTGAAAAGGGCCTATTTACTTCTTGTGTTTCTTAGCAATGTTAGCCTCATAGCTCTAGTTCTAAACTAAAGAAGCAAAATTCAGACACCAAACATGTCTTAGCTGATGGACTTTATCTGGGTTGGGTGTAAAATTGTGTACATTTGATTTCACCCAGCTGTTTCTAATGTTTCACTCAGTGTGAGTTTGTGTTTTGACTTTTTTAGTGGTTCTAGTTAAATCATCAACATTTTCAGGAATGTTATTTATCCTGTATGTATTTACACATGTACACGTGTGCGCTCGGTGGCTGCTGTGATTCTCAGGGTAAATTATGCATGTGCGTAAAAGCCATATGGTCTCAATTAGGTCTCAGTTGCTGTTGATGTCAGTGTCGTATGTGAGTAATTAGGGGCTGGATTGAAGTGTTTTTTCCCTGGGGACTCGCTGGTGTTGAAGAGTTCACGTCCCATAAATCAGAGCTCTGCTGCTCAATCTCTTCTCCATCTGTGGAGGTGGGGTGGGTCTCTGTCTCTCTCTCTCTTTCTCTCTCTCACTTGTTCTTGCTCTTTACTCTCTCTCTTCACTCTCTCCCTTGTTTCTCACATTCTCTCTCTTTTCTATCTCTCTGCCCTCCCTTTACTCTCTCTTTCTCTCCCTCACTCGTTCTTTCTCTTGTTCTTTCTCTCACATTCTCTTTCACTCTCTCTACTCACCGTTTCTTCTTTCTCTCTCTATGCATCTTTGTCTCTCTCTCTCTCTCTCTTTCTCTCTCTGCTGTTTCTCGTTCACTTCTCTTTTTACCTTCTCCACTCATTGTTTCTCTTTTCTCTCTATGAATCTTTCTCTCACTTCTGTTTCTCTCTCTGTATCTCTCTACTGTCTCTCTTCTGTCTCTTCTGTCTCTCTGTGTATCTGTCTCTCCTCTGTTTCTCTGTCTCTCTGTATCTCTCTCTACTGTCTCTCGTCTGTTTCTCTCTGTCTCTCTGTATCTTTTGTTTCTATCTCTTTATCTCTCTCTCTACTGTCTCTCTTTTCTGTTTCTCTGTCTCTCTCTGTATCTCTCTACTGTCTCTCTTCTGTTTCTCACTCTTTATCTCTCTACTGTCTCTCTTTTGTTTCTCTCTGTATCTCTACTGTCTCTTCTGTTTCTGTCTCTCTGTATCTCTCTCTCTCTCTACTGTCTCTTCTGTTTCTCTGTCTCTGTATCTTTCTACTGTCTCTTCTGTTTCTCTCTCTATCTCTCTCTGTACTGTCTCTCTCTTTTGTTTCTGTCTGTCTCTCTATCTTCCTCTCTGTACTGTCTCTCTCTTTTGTTTCTGTCTGTCTCTCTATCTTCCTCTCTGTACTGTCTCTCTCTTCTGTTTCTCTCTGTCTCTCTCTGTATCTCTCTCTCTAATGTCTCTCTTCTGTTTCTCTCTTTATATCTCTCTGTCTCTCTTTTGTTTCTCTCTCTGTCTCTCTCTACTGTCTCTCTCTGTATCTCTGTCTCTGTATCTCTCTCTCTACTGTCTCTCTCTGTTTATCTCTCTTTATCTCTCTCTCTACTGTCTCTCTATTTTGTTTCTCTGTCTTTATCTCTCTAGTGTCTCTCTTCTGTTTCTCTGTCTCTGTATCTCTCTCTACTGTCTCTCTTGTTTCTCTCTTTATCTCTCTCTACTGTCTCTCTTCTGTTTCTCTCTGTCTCTCTGTCTTTCTCTCTGTACTGTCTCTCTCTTCTGTTTCTCTGTCTCTCTCTGTATCTCTCTCTCTAATGTCTCTCTTTCGTTTCTCTCTCTGTCTCTCTCTACTGTTTCTCTCTATATCTCTCTCTACTGTCTCTCTCCTGTTTATCTCTCTTTATCTCTCTCTACTGTCTCTCTCTGTATCTCTCTACTGTCTCTCTTCTATTTCTCTTTATCTCTCTCTACTGTCTCTCTCTGTCTGTGTATCTCTACTGTCTCTCTTTTGTTTCTCTCTTTATCTCTCTCTCTACTGTCTTTCTGTTCTGTTTCTCTGTCTCTGTGTGTATCTCTCTCTACTGTCTCTCTGTCTCTTTCTTGCTCTATCTCTTTCTCTCTCTTTCTGTGTCTGTTTCTCTTTCTCTCTACTGTTTTTCTCTCTTTCTGTCTTCTCAACCTTCTGTCTCTCTTTCTCTACCTTTACTCCTTTTTTCTCCTGTTTTGCTTTTTCTCGTTATCTCTTGCTCTTTCTCATTGAATGCTCTCTCTCTCTTTATAGTCTCTCTCTTTTTTCTCTCTCTGTCTGCCTGTTTCATGATTTTAAGACAGAAGTTAAGAAGTTCATAAGTGTATTGAAAAATGGTTAAAATGCTGATCTCAGCTAACTCTTTGTTCTAATATTAGCCTGAGTGGCCATGTAGTAGCAGCTCTGTGCTGTTTTAGGCTAGAACTGTAACAAAATTGGATCAGATTCATTTTTTTTACCCTCTTATATTAATCCAGCGTTTTCTGCTGATATCGGCTGATATCTGATCTGTGCCATCTTTACGCACTGTGACTTTCAGACACATTTGATGCTATAAAATATGCAATATAAGACATACTGAGATGTATTTGTCTTTTAAGACTATTTGAGTTAAATTTGTTCACCAGGTGCTGCAGTTGTCTTCAGGCAACTTCTGTCTTATTGTGTTTCAGAAACCACAATACATATTTCACTGTGAAATTTGTGTATCATTGTCAGTTTGGTCAGGCCATGTCCATAACTGAAACACCAGTTCAACATATGATCACAGTCCCCTCGCAATTCATCCCCCACCACCCAAAAGCCTTTGTGAAAACAAGCCTGGGATTGGCCCTCTTCTCTTCCATTTGGCCTCCGTCCGGCAGTTGTGTATTAGTAGCGCTGCGCCTGCTGTCAGCTGTGTGCAACCAGGAAACCATGGAAACAAAACAATTCAGCCTTCAGCAGACGAACGCTTGTAAATTTAGGGACTTTTCTGTTTTCCCTCTTTTTTTTGCTTCTTTTTTTCCCCTACACTAAACTAGCCTGAAGAGCTATATCACTGAAATAAGCCACTGCAAAGCCTCCGATGAAAGAAAAGAAAAAGAAACGGAGGGAAAGAAATCACAGATACCACTTTAGTTACACAAAAAGACATATTAAATTACACCAGAACCTCCAGATTCACACCAACATACATGTATTTCTATCTTTCTTTAAACATGCTCCAGTAACTGGGGCTGATTGTCAACCTGGAAATCCACCACAGCCAGTGTTTATTTTACAGCCTCACAAGTCCTAATGAACATATACCAGATACAGCGGCTTCAAAGAGCGAACACGGCCTCTGTGAAGTCTCTATCTGTGGGAAGGCAAAAGCTTTCATAGCCTCTCCAAACAACTACAGAGGAGGAAGTTACGAGAAACGGAGGGAGGAGCTCGTCCAAGTTGGGGAGCTTTTCTGTATGTAAACCAGATGTGCTGCACTCCCCCAACTCTTACACACACACACACACACACACACAGAGAGAGAGAGAGAGAGAGAGAGAGAGAGAGAGAGAAAGGGGGGGGTTGTGCTCATACAAACTCAAGATGTCAGATCATGCATACATCCCGTATGTGTCATTTAAATGGGCACTGTCGCAATAAAACCTCTCCAGTATTACAAATTTTATTTTGCGTGAATTAAAAATGCTGGCTGCTGTTTACAGTTAAACACTTTGTGCTGAATGGACCAACATAGATTTGTTCTGACAGTGACTGTATGTAAGTACATATATAAAATCCTGCCAATGTTAGATATGTATTCATGTGTGATAATAACATGTCTGTACAGTCATATGCAAAATGTTGGGGTTACCCAACATTTACTTATTTATTTATTTACCCTCAGCCCCAGTACTGTGTGTGTGTGTGTGTTTCTATGCATATATATATATATATATATATATATATATATATATATACATATATATATTTCTCTTTCACTCCCTCTACTCACTGTTTCTTCTTTCTCTAAGGTGGATCATTCTCAGCACTGCAGTAACACTGACGTGGTGGTGGTGTGTTAGTGTGTGTTGTGCTGGTACGAGTGGATCAGACACAGCAGTGCTGCTGGAATTTTTAAACACTGTGTCCACTGACTGTCCACTCACACCTTGTCAGTCCACCTGGTAGATGTAAAGTCAGAGACGATAGCTCATCTGCTGCTGCACAGTTTGTGTTGGTCCTCTAGTCTTTCATCAGTGGTCACAGGACGCTGCCCACAGGACGCTGTTAGCTGGATAATTTTGGTTGGTGGACTATTCTCAGTCCAGCAGTGACACTGAGGTGTTTAAAAACTCCAGCAGCACTGCTGTGTCTGATCCCCTCAGACCAGCGCAACACACACTAACACACCAACACCACATCAGTGTTACTGCAGTGCTGAGAATGATCCACCACCCAAATAGTACCTGCTCTGTGGGGGTCCTATGGGGGTCCTGACCACTGAAGAACAGGGTAAAAGGGGGCTAACAAAGTATGCAGAGAAACAGATGGACTACAGTCTGTAATTGTAGAACTACAAAGTGCACCTATATAGTAAGTGGAGCTGATGAAATAGACAATGAGCATAGAAACAAGGAGGTGGTCACAATGTTTTGTCTGATCAGTGTACATACATTTACATATTGTTTTTTATATATATATATATATATATATATATATATAGAGAGAGAGAGAGAGAGAGAGAGCGAGAGAGATAGATAGATAGATAGATAGGTATAGATATAATTAAACATTTATATATACATACATCCTGCCACAAATATCGGTACTCCTGGTAATCATGAGCAAAATGACCTGTAAAAAATTCTTAATTGCTTAGTCTGTTGTATCTTTCATTCAAAATATTAGCAAAAATCTAACCTTTATTTAAGATATAATGACTTACAGAAAAAACTAAATCTTGTCATGAAATTTTTTTTTAAATCTTCCCTTTTAGTGTATTCCCTTTTACATTTTATGTTTTTATGTTCACCTGAGCGATTAGGAACACTTCAGTGTTTAGCCATGACTTCCTGATTCACTGGGGAATATATATGAGATGAAACACATGCCAAATGCTCTCAGTCAGTCATCGCTGTGAGAAAGAGCAGAGAAAACAGCAGTGTGTGACAAAACACTATTGAGCTGCACAAATCAGAAATGGCTACAAGAAAATACAACAAAGAATCTCCAAGGATCACAGATGGGGAATTGCAGAAATCAGGTAGTTTTTGGAGTCACAGTGTCACCCAAACCAAAATCAGACACCACCTATATGACCACAAGTTGTCTGTGGGGGGTTGCCAGAAGAAAGCCTCTGCTGGACCAACAGACTCAAGTGACTACAGTTTACCAGCTAGAACTTTCAGTGGGACTGTATTCTATATTCAGATGAGACCAAAATAGAGGTTTTTTTGGCAGCAAACACCAGAAGTGAGTTTGGCATGGACACTAAGATAGCCATGCAGAGAAGTACCCCATCCAGACAGTGAAGTATGGTGGTGGATCTGTGATGTTATGGGGTTGTTTTATTCCAAAGGCCCTGGACAAGTTATTCAGATACATGGTATCACAGACTGCATCAAGTACTGGCAGGAATAAAATCAAAACCTGTCTGCATCAGCCAGGAAGCTTAAACTGAACCAAAGTCTGGGTTTTCCAGCAGGACAGTGATCCAAAACACACCTCAAAATCAACACAAAAATTGATCACTGATCAGAATTAAGGTTTTGCCATGGCCACCCCAGCCCCCTTACCTAAACCCCATAGAAAACCTGTGGGATGAGCTGAAGAGGAGAGTCCACAGTGTGGAGCTTTGAATCTGAAGGATTTGGAGAGGTTCTGTATGGAGAAATGGTCTCAGATCCTTTGCTGTGTGTTCTCCAGTCTCATTAAGCGTTATTGAAGAGTCAAAGATGTTATTTTTGCAAAGGGAGTGCTGCACAAAGTATTAAATGAAGGGGTGCCAACAGTTGTCACATTTAGATTTGAGAAAAATATTTATTTCATGATAACTTTTTTTTACTTCAAAAAAGGTTAGATTTGTGTTAATATTTTGAGTGAAAGATCAAAAAGATAAGAGTAAATAAAGAATGTTTTTACAGCCTGTCTTGTTCATATTCACCAGGGGTGCCAATAATTGTGTATGTGTGCTTCTTTCCCTTACAAATTATATGTAAGGACCTAACTGTAATACGAATTGAATACAGTTAAGAATCAGGACCTGGAAATGTACAAAAACACACACACACACACACTGTTTCACATGGTTTCAACAGTTTAACAGGCCACATCAGTCAAAAGGTGCGCAATCAAGGGGATCCACTTGTGGAAAACATGAAATCTCGTAAAGTTGCTCTCGCCTCTGCTACTATGTTGCTAGGCAGGAGAGTTTGTTTACAATCACTGTTTTAAGTGTAGCGTAGGCGGCGTCCTTATGAGAGAAATATGGTGTCAGTTTGGAAAAAAACAATAAAGGAAGGTGTTGAATTTCTTGAAATGTACCTAAAATATGTTCATTTAAAGAAAACAGTATATAGTATTTATCATTGCTGTTCTGTTTGTTTTGATGTTCTGAAATGATTGTTACAAACTCCTTTGAAAAATATGAGAATTTCTGAAATATTTTCTCAGTTTCAAAATAAACGTTGACCTTAATGCTTCCTGAAGGACGTTAGATAAGTGTTCCGTGTCCATTTCTTCAAGATTAGTCCCTTAACCACAAAGAGTTAAAACAGGCCAGTCATGAGATTCACAACTTTAGGCACAGCTACATGACTCATCTCAGTGGTTTCTAGACCTTAAAACATCAAAATTGCCCAAAATTGGGGACATTATAGTTTAATTCCATGCTATTTGGTTCCATAAGTCTACCCCTCCCTTCTGGTTGCCCATGTCTGGTTGGTTTAAAGCAGACGCCACTCTCCTCCTCAGCACAACACTGCTGCGCATTCATCAGAGCTCGACAGAAACCCTATCTCCTCAGAGAATGGGGCCTGTGAAAGGAGTCAGTGTGATTGTGGAGGGCTGCGTGTCTGAGGGGCAGTGACGGAGAAGGTGGCTGAGTGCTCTCAGGCCAACGGGCCGCAGTGGTGCCAGATGTCTGCCTCATATCCAGCCCACTATTGTGTTGAGGACAAGTGCGACACTATCTGCTGTTAAGGCAGTATTATCGTCAAAGATCCACCAGAACCTTTTAGCTGTCAAACGAACAATATAAGCGTATTTCATGGTACACTTGTGAAGGGAGCCTGAATACAAGTTGATCTCCCCCACCCACTCCTAGAGTTGTAGAGGGAAAGTATATTGATGCAGTCGGTCTACTTGGCAGTGTGTGTTCATATATGTCTGTTGATATGTGTATATTGTGTACGTTTAGTCACCACAACATTTTGGCATTCTTTGGTCCCTGAGGATCTGATCCACAGACTAATTTGGAATTGTGTGCAGTATGATTTTTATAAGGTGTTTTTGGGCCAAATATAATGACTGTAAAACTGCAGTTATACAAATAATGAATTGTGATTAATTAAATTAAGATTAAACTTGCAATAATTTACTTTTAGTAGTTCACTAACATTGTTTTCATCGTGTTAGCGCAGCGTGGTATTGTGCTGAGAAAACATTCCCCACACCATTACACCACCTCCACCAGCCTGGACTGTTAACATAAGGCAGGTTGTGTCAATGGATTCATGCTCTTTGTGCCAAATTCTGACCCTACAGTCTGTGTTCAGAAGAAATCGAGATTAATCAGACCAGTCCTTTTTCAGCCCTGTTTTGGTGAGCCTGTGCCCACTGCATTTTTCAGCCTAACAACTCCATCATTAATACCACAGGAGTGATTTAAAGTTCTTACGATATTCACAGTATAAAAGTCTAAAGAATGTTACTCAAATGTTTTTCATTTTTCAGATGTCTGTGTTTCAGTCAAAAGTCGCATCAATGCCAAACACCTTACATACTCCCTTTTTTGCTAGTTTGCTAGCTAAATAGGTCTTCTAGCTTCTACAGCCAAATAGTGCACTATTTGTCATGTGTGGATGTGGCAGCAAAACTAAACCTTTACCTTGAATATAATATTATAGTAAAAAGCTATTTAACAAAATCAATGATAAAAAAATTAATGCAAAAATAATATGATATAAAAATGTATATAGATGTTTTCCAGTATAAATTACATGTAAGTACCTTTAGGCATCTTAAAACTATCAATAATTGCAACTTTTGCGTCGTTGGTAATTGGTAATTATTTTGCTTTTAATTCTCAGGTGCTTGACCATTATGAGCGAGACGGGTTCCAGTTTTTGTCGAAGGTTTTTAACTCCTCTCATTCCTTCCTGGAGGATTTGACTGGTTTGACGCTGCTGCATCAGGAGACACAGGCTGCAGAGGTGAGTGTTTCCTCTACTCTTCATCATCAGCCTTCAGAGGGTCATTAACCTATTCACTGCAATCAGTTGCAAATATTACATTTATATCTATGTATAGAAATATGTATAAATGTCCTGATTGTATTTTTTTTATCTTTAAAGAAAACATACTGAACAAAATGCTAAGTATTAGCCAATATTGAGTCTCTGTCAGATATTTGTGTTTTCATAAATAACACAGCTGCACAGTGCACATTTTAGGAACATCAAAGTTAGTAAATTCAGTTTAATTGAGGTAAGACTTACTAGGTTGCCAGATACTTCAAAATGCAGTGATCACTAAGATGTGTTGCCTAATATGATATCTAAGATGATATCTAATAATGAGATGATAAGATGATATCTAAAAATAATTATCACAATATTTTGTGGTATAAATTAAATCTGTATTTTTGATTATAATACCACCACCCCCGCTATATCTTCCTCTGGGAAACCTGCAGTAAACATTTCCTCTGCTGTAGCTAAACAGCTTTTTAATGCCTCATAATGATGAATTTCTGTAACGGCAAAAAGGAAATAAAATCTTAATATTAATTGTAATGTTGTTTAGCAAAATGAAATAGTCATAATGTTAATGAGTTTATTTCATTTTATTTTACCCAAACAGTTTCTTACACTGTTTCATGCACTAAACTAGACTCAATATATCCAAATGTATCATCATGTTGAAACCTCAGCACTGTTTACATTATCTGTACAGATTACAGCATGATATATGCTGCTGTCACTCATTCAGTCTTGTGAAGTACAAAATCGTACCATTCTGTTACTGTTCAGAGTTAGGAAATCAGAAATTATTGCCATTTGAAAACGTATATAACCCCAGTGATTGTGCCCTTTATACGTTAGGTTGAGGACCCCAGTAATTTTCACTGTTATGTCATTTTTTCTGCACATGGGTTTAAACTTCTCTGCTTCTCCAGCATGTTTGTTTAAAGATGAATGAATGATGATCTGCAGTTAACTCTAAGACCCTTAACTCAGACAGGGCTATGGAGGTTTGCAGGATGCTTTATGAATACTAGAATGCTATTTTTTTGGGGGGGGAAAGAACATAAATAAGATTAAGCATTAAGAAAGAGTCAGGTTGTAAGACAACTTTGCTGTCAAAAAAAAAATCTTTAAAATGGTAAGTTTACAGGAGAAGGCAAAAACATTCTTAACTTTAAATGGAAGTTAATGTAAAGAGATTTTATTTAAAAATGTATAGAGTATTTCTTTTGGTCCATTCACCATAATTTCAGTTGAGTTCAAACATCAGTGATGTTTTTTTTTTGTTTGTTTGCTTTTTTTGGACAGTGAATCTCTTAATATTAGATGACCAATGCAGAAACTACCTTTAAAATTACTCTTAGCAAATGAGATCTTGAAATGGAAATGTCATCAAACTAATATGTGCTGTAGGGCTGTCACAATAGCAGATATTTCATGGCCATGGTGTAGCATCACAGTAGTTCATATAAAAACATACTGTGGCAAAAAATAAGTAGAAGACTGTTGTCTGAACAACACTTGTTTGTTGGATTTAACATGGAAACATATTATTGACAGCTTAATTGACATCAATATTTTCATTTAATACATAATTTTTACAGTATAACACTTAAGTGTAAAATAGTCCCAAATAATTTAAACATGGCCTCGGTCAGCATATTCTGAAGATTAGCAGGAAGATGAAGAAATACCCTGTGTTTAGCCTCTTTCTGCAGTGCCCCTTAGTGGCCATTTCACTGATGGAATTAAAATAGAGTTGGATATCTTTAACAAATACTTTTTAATAAATATAATTAAATATTTGTTCCTCGTAATTCTGTTATCAGATGATCTAGGATCCTGTTGTCTCTCTGTGTGTGAAATGTTGTGACTCTTGTGTCGAGCTGCTAGCGAGCAATGAGGGGTGAAAGGGGAGGGGTGACAACCCCCTTCTGTGAAAACTATTTACACTCACAAAGACAAAACTAGATATAACACACAACTGCAGCTTTCTTCATAACAGACAATCCTGTACAACTGACACAATAAACAAGCAGCATTTAAACACAAAAACACACACTCTTGTTGACTTTTATGCTCGCCTGTAAAGATGAAATTGACTGAGTCTGTATTTTTAATCTGTATTTAACCTTTACATTATGTGAGGATTCTTTAAACTTTAAAAAGGTTTTTCACACTCATACATCTTATGTACAAAAATCCCTTTGTTTTTTCACAAGGCATTGAAAGTTTTTTTTTGGCTGTTCTGTTTACTGGGTAAGCAGGAAAGAAAGGTTTCAAAGCAGAAACAAGATATATGCACAGATTTTCTTTCACCAAATAAGCCATCCCGCCCACCCTCACCCACCCTCACCCTCCCTCCCTCCCTCCCTCCCTCCCTACCTACCTCCCTCCCTCCCTACCTCCCTCCCTACCCTCCCTCCCTCCCTCACCCTCCCTCACCCTCCCCCCCTCACCCACCGTCACCCACCCTCACCCTCCGTCACCCTCCCACCCTCACCCACCCTCACCCCCTCACCCTCCCTCACCCACCCTCAACCTCCGTCACTCTCCCTCTCCCTCACCCTCCTCACCCACCCTCACCCACCCTCCTCACCCACCCTCACCCACCCTCCCCCACCCTCCTCACCCACCCCCTCACCCACCCTCCTCACCCACCCTCACCCCCCTCACCCACCCTCGTTATAAGGAGTGTTTCAGCCTGTCATTCTAAGGGATAAGTAGATGTTCAAAAATAGTCATGTAAAAATTAATCCTGATAATTTGTGGTGTATGAAGCTATAGAAAAATTATAAGTGGGCTTTAAGGAAAAAAATAAAATATAAGAAAATGTAGGATATGGGCCCTTTAATGAAAGATGCCTTAGTTTATATACTGAAAAACTAATTTACGAATTCAGTGCATGAAAAAAAGAAGCCGTGAATGAATTCTGTGCTTCACTGCTGATCAGGATGGGGTGTTGAACTTGTGGTTTCACTTACCTGTTATAAGCAATTGGGAAAAAAGACAAATCTAGAACAAATCCAGAAGCCCTGAGAACCTTTGTGCTTACAGAGCTTCAGTAGAACTCTCCAGTGACGGATGGAGGCCGGATGGAGGGCTGAAAGTGTGGGAAAGTCCCACGTCAGCACTCTTCTCTCTCTTCCCTGCAGTGGTTTACAAACACACATGGAGTCCAACCCTAAATGAGAGGAAGTGTGTCCCTGCCTGGGCTCAGTCTCATTGTGTTAGGCTGTAGAATTTGAACCATGTGGAACCATCCAGCATCTAATTCGCTCTGCTCTCTTTGTGATGCTATATATTATAAATACCTCAGCTTATGATTACACGGCCCTTAGATGATGTGAAGGGAAACTTAAGTGACTTAGACAGTTTCAAACAGTATTTTCCTTCAGTACGTAAACCATACAGAACCGTGCAAAAGCCTTAGGCAGCCGGGAAAATGATTTAAAACTATTTATTTGGGCACTAAGTGTGTTTTTACTCATGAAGACACTAAATAACATTAGAACAGGTACAAATAAACATAAATACAGTAAGTAAAAAGAAATTCTTGTTTTCAAGAAAGGAGTTGAGAGCTGGTTAGAAGAACACAGGTTTGGTTTCAGACTTCTCCTCGACACCCTCCCACACTGAGTGGCTATTCTCCACCAGCATACCTGAATGAATTTAATGAAATATTGATTAGACAAACCAGAAATTGGATGGTGACTATAAATGATACTGGGTTTCCTCAGGGAGAGGTTTGGACAAATGGTTAAAAAATTAACATTAACATGCATAAAATAGTAAAAAATGGTTAAAGGAGCACATTATATGCACAAAAACACTAATTAGTATTAATGTTTGTTTTTCTATTGTAATATTAGTGTTTTGTTTTTTTTTAGAAAAAGAGCGCTTGCTGCCCAGATAAATAGCTTTTTAAATAACCCCAGATCATATTAATCCTGTTTTTAAAGCGAGTCCTAGAAATAGCTCCAGATTATAGTCATTTTATGTTGTAGAACGAACCCTAGAAATAACCCCAGATTATATTAATCCTATGTTGTAGATGGAACCCTAAAAATCACCTCAGATTACATCAATCATGTGTTGTAGATCAAACCCTAGAAATAACCCCAGATTATATTAATCCTATGTTGTAGAGCAAACCCTAAAAACCACCCAGATTATATTAATCCTGTGTTGTAGAATGAACCCTAAAAATCATCCCAGATTATATTAATCCTATGTTGTAAAATGAACCCTAGAAATAACTCCAGATTATATTAATCCTGTTTTAAAACGAGTCATAGAAATAACCCCAGGTTATATTAAATTCTGTGCTAATTGCCTTGTTGGTAAATATTCCCTGATCAAGCCCATATATACCTGCCTCAAGTGTATGTTTACGAACATTCAAACATGTAAAGTGACAGAAAAATGTTTTACTTTGTGGGTTGATGTTGACTTGGTTGTAAATTCCTGAACTGATAACACTTTGCATTCTCTTAGGATAGCTAGATAGATGATTAGGATGAACAGAGTTGCTATTAAAACATTTGGGTTTTTGCTTGTAAGCAGCTGAATGTGTATTTTATGCTGAGATTTCTTGTCCTGTATGAATCGATCGTAAACATTGCAGACGTCCTGTGATATGATGACTTTACTCTGCCTCCTGATGAAAGAATAATCCTGTATTCATACTTTACAGTAAGAAACAGTGTGGTGGACCCATTTATATGCATTTTATTTATTAATTTTTTTGTTTTTATTTCTTTTATTTTTTTTCAGTGAAGTATTGTGAAATCTTTGAAAGGTTATTGGTTTATTGTTTTGTTTATTTTACTTTAAAAAACAAACAGACTGATTCTCTAAATAATCTGTAGATTAGTCGATTTTTAATGTAATCGGTCCTGACAACTCTAGTTTAAAAGTAGATGTCTTTTCTTCATGCAGTGACAGTGATGTGGAAACTCATTGCT